AAAAAAATTCATAAGACAAAACATGAAAATTAATTTGTATTCAAACCTTCTCTTCTTCTCCTACTAAGGACATATAGGGGGTAAAAAGCCTGTGGTTATAAAAGGACATGCAGTTTTTTTCTTTATTTGCTTTTGTACTTGTTTTTCTTAGTATACTTTTTGCCTTTTCAGGGACAGGGGTAGAGAAGATAAAGTCAGTGGTACAGAAATTCTTCCTGGACTGATATTATCCTAAGATGAATCAAATCCTGAGAGGTGCATATCCCTTCTTTATGGGTTTTTTTTTTTTTTTTTTTTTTAAGAATCTCTTCGACTGAGATGTCTCACTTACATCCTTTCACAGAGTGAATGTATTTAATGACCATAGTCTATAGAAATTCCCATGTCTTCTGCTTTTCTCTGCACATGCATTCACTCACTTCTACAAGACGGTATGGTCAGGACCTGACAAGACCTCATGCTGGCTCTCCGTTTGAGTGACCCAGACTGACCCATGGAACATAATCTTCTTTTTTGTTGTTGTTATAACAAATTCTGGGAATAGGCTGATCCCAGGGCAGCTACCTCTTCTTTGAGTTGTCTGTCCATCACTAGACACTGCTATTGTGCCCTTTAGATATTTCAGGCAGGAGTCAGGCATCAGTTGACTATGTCCCAATTCAATAGACAAACATCAAGATTACTGTATGATCCCAGGGAAGCCATTCTCAGTAGGTCCTCCTACAGAGAAATCCTCATAACATAATCCTCCTGCTAACTCCATCCCTGATGCTTTTATAATTTTGCTGTGGTTGAGATGTCTAAGAGTTTGCTACTCTGCTTGCTCTTAGATTTCTATCTTTGCAACTTCTGGAAAATGTCTCCCAGAATTTGTTTTGATATTTGTTCCTTTCAGGAATCGGGGTTGAAAAATTAAATATAAGGAGAAGAAAAAATTCCAGCAGCAAATTCTGCCAATCAGTCAGAATTCAATGCTTTAATTCAAACAAAAAAACATTCAAACACAAACAAAAGAAATAAAGGGAAATCAAACTTACTAAATTATATTAATAACTGATCAGGGGAAAATTGGTTGTCAAAACAAATTGTCCATTCTTGGGATTACAGTGAGACCACATGAAAGATGAGCATGTTTTTCAGTGTACATTTCTCAAAAGAGGAAGTATCTTTCCAAATTTTCTATGAATGAATTTCTTTTCTGAATCCACTGAAGGAATATCAAACATTAAAGACAGTTTGAACATGTTATACTCAAAACCCTATTCAATGTTGTTTAGGAAATGTAATAGTTTAGGTAATCTGCCCTTCCAATTCCTTTATTTTAGAGAATTATTTGTGAAACTAGTCCTAGATATAGTTTAATTAAATATGAAAAGATTAGTGGATATTCAAGTATGAATAATAAAGACCAAAGTATAAGTTAATTTACTTAAAAGAATATTAAAAATGCCAGCTGTAGAAAAAGTCTCATTAAATGTCTACATCAGAGAAGAATACAACTCTGTATTTACTATGATACACATGTATTCAACAAGTGTTCTTGAGGGTTGATTATTAGAATGCTGGGCTGGTCATGGATGTAAGAGATGAGATAGTCTTTAGGAAGCAGATTCTTTCTGGTAAAGTTAGAAGATACTACAAATGACAGTGTGCTCATTGTTTCTTTAAGAAATGTTCCTCTGTATATAATGGGGTCCTAAAACTAAATAACTTTGACTCCACTTCTCTTTCTCAGACTAAGTTCTTTTCCCTCCATTCACTGGTGCTTCTGGGCTCCAAGGGATGGCCCCTATTGTTCTGAATAAAGTTATTGTTCCCTTCAAGAAATACATACAACTCCATGAAGCTCATCAGAGCAGGCTGGAATTCCCTGGTAGACAAGCAGAATAGTTTCTTGAAGAAGGGAGGGCCCTGATTCCCCAGGTGAGGTTTCCTGCTGAGCATATAAGGTTCAGGGGCTGCCAACTCACTCTGGCCCCCGACTCCACACCTTCCAACTACAGGCCAACACACACCCACACACACACACACACACAACACACACACCAAACATGCAATAGGCCTGAACTTGACCATTATATGAACTTCCTGGGGTGGCAGTAGTGAGCACCTTTATCTTTTGGAGCTGAGTACAGACAAACCCAACATGCATTCAGATCACTGTGTTAAGTACCAAACCCAGTGTCAAGGGCAAAGAACTGACAAGATGTGTGCAGAAATCCTGAAATCTAGTGCAACAGCCTGGCAATCCCACCCTTCGTGTCTGTGTAAGTTATGAACCTGCATCCTCAAGAAGCAGTCTGGGGACCTTAACCCATGCAGGGTCTCTCCTGTGCTGGAGCATAAGCAAACAGCCTCATCCATAAGTATTGCTCACCTCTTCCTCATTTCTCTCTCAAATTGAGCAAAAGAACCCGTGGATGAACTGATAACACCAAAATAAGCTGGAAACATAAAAAGTGCTATCCTTGTCTTCTTGTGATTCTGAACAGAGCAGCAAAACACATACACACAAAACAAACAACAAACAAAAACAAAAGTCCACACTGATTGGTAGCATCAGGACTTTTAGTAAGGTAAGTTAATTGCAGTTCTAACAGTAAAAAACAAAATTGTAGCAGAATGAGAGGAGTGTATAAATCATTGTTATCTATTTCCAAAACTGAGTCACTGGCACAGGACTTCACTGAAACAGTGATTATTATTCTGAAAGAAGCTTGTAGACCGAATTCCTGAAGCTAAAGAATGACTTCAAACTCATCACAGCTACACTAATTTTCACTCATAGCTACAAACATTTTTAGAGTAAAATAAGTGAATTTGAAGGTAAAATAAAATATTCAGATGACTATGCAATATTAGAAAATGCAAATGATATTCAGAGAATATTATTAGCTCTGTAAGGAAAAGATTTGATAAGAAGGTAAACTAGAAAGGACAAAACAGGGTAGAAGGGAAGAGAGCACAGCACAGAGAAAAGTGGTGGAAAAGGGAACACTGAGCAAGCAATTCGTTTCAGGTATATCAAGCAGGGAGTGGGGCGCCAGGAAGCGCGGTGTGGTTCCGGCTAAGGGGTTGCCCTAGGAAGGAGGAGGAAATAGAAAGGGATAGAGAAATACTATTTAGGCAGTTAGATGGGACCTGCTCTGATAGCACTCATAAAGTAAAAGCATAGGACTGCAATGACAGATCTGTTTGTTCTGATCCACTATGAACAAGCAAGGTGACCTTGAACAATATACCTGGCTTCTCACATTCCCTTCATACTGTGACATTTGGGGCTCTTAGACCTCCTAGTTTTCAATTTATAGGTCTATGAAATCTTATTGACCAAGATGAGAGAAGAGAGGAGAACAACAGAAAGGAGGAAGAGAGAAGGATCTTGAGAAGCAGAAAAAAGGAGGCTTAAGGCAACTTGTGCTAGAAGTAAGAGCAAGTGAAAAGTCTAGAATGGTCTTTGAGGATGCAGGCTGACTCATGCCCTAAGGAAAGAAGAGATAACAGTATCCTTTCCAAATCTCTAATGATTCACTTGAGAAGGTCAACCACAGTTGCAACTAGGAAAGTTTACATTTTGTGATATGAAAAAGCCCATTTCCTTTTAATGATTCTACACTGATTTCAGTAAGTTTTCTGTTGTCAGTGGGATATACATGACCGAACCCTTCAACTAGACTTCTATGGAGCCCTATTCAACCTTGGATTAGTGAAAAATGATATTTTGCTTTTATTTATGAGTTATAATTTGAACTCTTCAACTATGAAAATCTTTATCATTTTGGAAAGTTGTACATATCATGGGGGGGGGAGCTAACTCCCCCCACAGAAGCACACAGACACCTATCTGTGTATATGAGTGTACTATGTCACAAGTTTAACCTGGATGTGACTAACACTGATATATATATAGTCAGACCATTTTTTTCACTGCTTCAGAAAATTCTCCCAAATTAGTCTCAGAGAGGAAGGAGAGATCAGTGGACTGCATGTACATTCCTAGAGGTTCCTATGCCCTCTGATCACCCCCACACCATGCAGACTCAGGTTGTAGTGCTGATTCCTACCTTGTACACACTGTCTCTTTTGACATTTAATTTGCCTGTTATTTATTATGTCTGCTCCATATTTTATGTACGACCATATAAGTTTAAAAAACATTAAACTAATTAAAATTAACTCAGTGTCTTGAATGAAAGAGTTCTGCAAGAATTTTCACTTCATTTAGAGGAGATAAAAGGGGATGTGTTCAGAAACAGAGGCTTGGTGGAAAACAAAAATGAAGTGATAACAATTTGACTTTCTTTAGCTAGAGCCTACAGCATTGTTTTTTATTTAAGGAAGTAAATTAATATAGGGGAAAAGATATTTTGAGCAATATCCAGTGGTTAGTTACTAATTTGTTTATACAGTTTGAGAAAGGAGATTATAATGTGATGGATTCTTTTGAGACTTCATTTTAGTTTCTGAAAACTTGCTCTGACATTATCAAAGGTGTCTACATTTGTTCCATACTTAGTAATTAAGTTATAAGTTTATAGATACCCTTCAGGGATATCTTCTAAGAACATTGAAAATGGAAGTTTTCATACTTTGTGTTTAGAAAATTACATATTCTAACTCAGTGCAGAGGTGCATGCTTGTAATCCCAGCAGCTTGGGATGCTAAGGCAAGAGACTGAGAGTTCAAAGCCAGCCTCTACAACTTAGTGAGGTCATAAGCAACTCAGTGAGAACCTGTCTTTAAATAAAATGTAAAAAAAAAGGACTGGGGATTTGTCTTAGTGATCAGAACCCCTGTGTTCAATCTCCAGTGGGGAAAAAAAAGAAAATTACATCTTTTAGAGTAATGTTCCTTTTGTTAGAAATAAAACGGAGATATGACATATAAAACACATCCTTAATTTTTGCTTTATTAATTTATTTTCAGAATATTTTTCTTTATTAAAAATTAATGTATTTTTATCTTCAGAACAACAGAAATAAAAATTCAGAGTCACATACCTGTGTCTGTTTAGGACCAATATCCATTCTTTCCAGAAGGTCATTTAAAAAAGCCGTGACACTCTCCCAGGGGTAAATACTGTTGGAACCATCTAGCACTATGACTATGTCCAGCTGAGTGCTGCATTCTACAATAAAAGAGGAAGTTATGTAAATTTGGAATCTATCTTTTTAGAAGTCTACAAAATGTTCTCAAGGACAACAGCAATTCATTTTAAAAGGTGAATGGATGCTCTACAAAGTGGACACACTGCTTTTCTAATAAGAAAAATAGTTTTAGATAAGTAAAGGAGATAAGAAATACTTATTGCACTGTTAGGATTGTTCTGGCTTCATGGTAAGTAAAACACATTTCTAATTTTAATTAATGTTGTACAAGAGTTATGTTAGGAAATTATCTCAATAATAATTTGATAAAACATTTCTCGTTCTGTGAATATCTCACATGAAGTTCCTTTCCTCCAAGAGACTCACCTTTAAACACAAGTAATGAGACAGCCTTAGCTATGAAGTTTAAATATGACTCTCTAAAGGTTATTTACACTGTATCAATTCCAAAAATAGCTACAAAGCTTGGTTATATGATGGCAAAGCAAACATTTACCTAAATTGGTAGTGCTGGTAGCTGACAAAACACTCAAAGCTTTTTGGTATGCTCCCGTGTATACATACGCCTCATTCATTGCTTTGCTTTTCAAACACACGAGAAGATTGCATAAAATCGGTACCTTGTACGGGGGCAAAGGAGTTCACCACTTGAAATGTGGGACTGACGTCAGAACAGATTCCAGTTGTGTAGTGCAAATGTCCACATCTATAGGCATATAAGGGCCCGCAAGCCTTTTAAAAAATTTAAAATAGTAAGAATTAAAATGATATAACAGATTAACAGATTTTGAAATACTTAATAATAATAGCATGCCTGTTGTGATGAAATATTACTCGTTCTTTCTTACCAGAAACCCTCCATTTGGATTGGTGACTAACGTTGATCCAAAAGTCATGTTCTCCTTTACTTCTGTGACGTTTGGAATTGATGTATTAACTACAAAATAGAACAAAGTGTTTAATATGAGTGAAAATAAGTTTCAGAAAGTGAAATGAAGACCAGTAGAGGAAAGGAAAGGGAATAGGGGAAGGGAAGATGGAAGGAAAAGGGGAAGTATGGGGACTCATTGGAGCAATTTTATTCCATGCTTGTATAATTATGTCAAAATGAATATCAATATTTTGTGTAACCATAATGTACTAATAAATTTTTAAAAAATTTTTATTTGGTTTGCTCATAGCACATTCTTCCCTTGGTTCAACTAAACAGACTTGCAAGTTTTACCAAGAAATATAATGAGCTAGCTAATGCAAAAGAGTTGGCTTCTGTCCCAGAAACGTTGTTACAATGTTTCAAATAGTTTTGTTGAACTGTGAAAGAATGCCGAACTAGCAAGGTAATGAGAGTGTGGGACTACTTTTCACAAGTTTTTGCTAATTAAATCAAATAAAATATTTAATTTCATAAGATGGTAATAAACAACCAGTGATGAAATGCCAGTTATGGCTAGAAAGCAGAAAATGTGTAGAAGATCAGAAACACAAATTTTTTCACTATAATTTCCAAATTCTTGGGGGCATTATGAGAGTTATAGTGAAAACTGAAACAAGATTGGAGAGGTGACCAAGAAGTTTGGATAAAGGGAATATGACGAAGAAAGCTACATTAGACATTCCAAATATGAATGCTAAATTCTGCAGCATACCAACCTGACAAAATTGGCAGGGAACTCCATTTATACATATATATTTTAACAGTTTGGATAGGAAAAGCAAAATCATCTACACCTTGTATAGTAAAATGCATAAATATTTGAAAGGAACAAAATTCAAGATCAAGAAAAAAATTGTCTCAGCCTCATACCTTAAGACTATAGATTTAAATTAGACAATGAAACAGAGGTTTCTGAATGATTAATATGTCTTCTGATCTGAGAATTGGTCCTTATCCAAGACTTTAGTCTTGCTTTCAAAGCACCTAGAACTGGGCTCTTAGATACATTGTTCCTGAATAATCAGGATTAGATTTTTTTTTTTTTAATATAACAGTTGACCCAGGAGCAGCATTGCTTGAACAATTAGGGGATACCACAGACACCTCCCTGTTCTCCTTGATGTGGTTAAATTCTCTAGGCTAATTTTAACACTGTATTCCAAGTAATAGAGGAATAGCTCCTATCATTAAAAATCCTTTGGAAATAACAGGTATAAATTCTAGGAAAAGGAAAAAAGTATGTCTGAAACAACTATCTGAAGGCACTGGAAAGTAACCAAAAGCAGGCAGAAACTAGGAAGGAAACTATACTAGGAAGAAGAAATTGGCACTGAGTATCTTATTTTTTTGTTTTATTTTTATTATTTTTTTTGGCTTTTATTTTGAGGGAAGACTCTAGTCAGTAATAAAACTCTAACAGAACTCCCAGTCTTGCTATCTTGAAGAAAAACAGGATAGAAATTGGGGCCAATGACAGAATCTGCAAAGTATAGAGGGGAGATATCTTCAGGGAAAAAAAGAAGAACGAAACGACAGTTCTAACATATGCATACATATTCTGTTCAAATAACTGGATGACTTGAATATTAAATGTGCAGAGTGGACTTCATATAGCTCAGCTGAACTGAATAGAGATTTTAACTGCTTCTCATTGCAGTAAAGTAAGTATATGCAAATTAACCTCAGCCACATTAATTGCCTGTTAAAAAGTTTAGACTGTTCAAAGGAACATAAGAGAATGTAGAACTTTCACACTTGTAATTCAAATATACAATTGGTTTATGATTCAAAAATCCTCCACATAAGAAACAAGAAAATGTGACTCAAGGAAAGGTAATAAATGTAAAGTAAGGTTGAGATATTTCAGTTGTTGGCATTATTAGGCAAAGGTATTAAAGCAACTATTGCAACTACGTTCATGAATGTGAAGGAAAAAACTGCTCATAATGAACAAATAGGAAATTCTTAAAAAGAAAACTAAAATGCAATTTCTGCAATAAACTTGTGAAACTGTAAATCATTTTTATGGTACTTAATATTGTACAGAACACTAATAATGTTCTAACACCAAGCCTTCTAATCATGATCCAACTACAGAGATTTTTCTATCAAATATATTTACTTCAACATTCAATATTAAATTTTTTTTAAAAAATCAAACTTATTTATTATAATTTCTCTGTTCTATTTCCCTTTAAGAACCAGGTAGTAAGTTAAATTTTGTGGAAGAAGGGTGAGGGACTGGCTTATTTGAAGTTCTTTCATGTTGCCCTTGGTTTACAAAGGATCCAAATAATGCAGAGAGGTAGAAGTTACACATCTAGTAAGATACTCTAAATCTATTGGATGTTTCATGATGACCTGCTAAAGCAAATGAGGGCAGAGAAAACTGAAATGTTATTGTGGGTGCATTTGGATGATAATTGAAGAATGATTACAGATATTTCTAAAATATTTCTTGGGTTACTTGAAAATTATTGTCAGCAAGAATATTGGGCATCATATAGAATGAGAATTTCTTTGATTTTACATACCTGGGAGATCCAGTTTTGTACAAGGTAATGATTCATCTCTTCTAACTGGACACTTATAGACATCTCCAGTTCTAGTTTTGGGTTGACCAACTAAAGGAGAACCAATAAGCACCCTGGAAATTAAATGAAGCAATTAACATTTTTAACAATAATAAAAAAAGTTTATTTAATTATTTTATGACTAATTCTAGGTTATTGAGAGTAGGTTACCATGTATATAATTAGATAATAATCCTGTTGGTAATTTAGTATTATCTAAAATAATATCACTGATTTGAATTTTAAAATATATTATTTGGATATAGAATGTCTTTTAAGTCTTATGTGTTGAAGACTTGATTCCTAATGCAGCAATGTTCAGAAGTGAGGCTTTTAGGAAATGATGGAATTATAACCTCATTTATGAATTAAGCCATTTTTTGTATTAGTAATCTGAATAGACTACGGGAAGGCTGTGGAAACTGTAGGCAGATGAAATGTGTTGGAGGAAACAGGTTACTGGTGGCATGCCCTGGAGGAGTATATCTTGTCCTTGGCCCCTTTCTTCCTCCCTCCCCACCTCCTTCATGGCTGCCATGACCTGAGCAACTTTCTTCTCCCACACCCTTCCACCATGATGTTCTATGTCATCTTAGGCTCAGAGCAATGGAGACAGGTGATGATGAACTGAAACCTCTGAAACTGTGAGTCAAAATAAGTCTTTCCTTCTCAGCAATAAATAGCTGACCAGCACACTATATGAATATGAGAGTAATCTGATAGATTTGTTTTATTTTTATCTATAATATTATCAATGTTTTTAGATGCTGAAATAATCAATAATAGCTCAGTCTGCTACTTTGTTTACAAAACACAAAAAAGTATATGACTTTTTCCCATGAAAAACTGATAATTTCCCAGAGAAGTCAAGAAATACAAATGTGGGATTATCATAAGATTTAACATTCTATGTGTTAGTTTACATGCACTTAGAAAATGGGAATAATTATGAGATCTAGAAAAAAAATCACTTATTGTCTTTTTAAACAGAATTATAAAATCACTCTAATAGTGAGAAATAGAAAAAATAAAATCACTATTCATTTTAGTTCTAGCAAGTTGTCTAACAGTCTCTCATGATTGCTTCAGAAATTGAATAAATGAATGTGGTTGAATGTTAGGGTACTTGGGTGGACCCACAGTTGCTGATTCATTATTGCCTAACCAGCTACATCCCAAGACTGATTTCTGCCACCAAAGGACTCTAGTCATATACCATTAGGCTTTGCACTTGTGATTATCTCAGACTACATCTTTATTGATGACTGGAGCAAATACACAAAAAGCATTCATATACTTAAAAGTTTATCTAGCTATCTATATTTATATTTGAGGACTTAGATATATCTCAACATTTTAGAATAATAAACAAAATTTAATAAGAAACTATGCAAATAACTTCACTTAACTGCAAACTATTGTCTATATTAGTACAGGATGTTGGAAACCTCACTAATGGGAGTTCATGTCAAAAAGTCTTGAGGGATTTCATTAACAGTGCTCAAACACTAGCCAATAGTGTATTTTGGTGCCAAAAATGCTAATGTGACCTTACTCTGCATTGCTAGAAATAGACGCCCTGGTCAAGTAAAGTGATAGCCTCGCTGTGCTCTGCACTGGTCAGACCATGTCTGGAATCTCCAAATTCAGAAGGACATAGGCACAATGGAATGTATTTAGGAGGATGTGACTTAGATGATTAAGAGCCTGGCAATTTTGTCAGACAAGAGATATTCACAAGAAAGTTGAGGATATTTAGCATGGAGAAAGAATGTCTGATAAAACCCTAAGAGGTCGTACAGGGGTACAAGTCAAGCAGGCATACATTTTTAAATATTTAAATATCTGTCATATTGAAAAAGCAATGAAAACTTTTTCTATAGGTCCTTTGGGCAAACTAGCATTAACGAAAATAGGTTTTACAACAATTGAATTATCGAAACATTGAATAGACTCCCTAAAACATTCTTATAGTATAATGCCTTTGCAAAGCAATTTCTGCTGTGCATAAAGACCCATTAAAAACCTTCAAAGCCTTTAAGGCATAATTATTATTTCTGGGAACATATTATTAAAAAATGAAAATAAATTAAAGCTTCATGCACAAAGATAATTCCAAGAAAAAGGTAACAGTAATATAGTCAAAACAAGAACTAATTATTTCTGATTCACTCTGTAAAATATTGTGCTGTCATAAGAAATAATAGTTAATAAGATTCCATGGTGGTATTAAAAATTATTTATCACCAAATTCAAAGCAAAAGCCTACCTAATTTAGTGAAAACCTGTGGCCTATTAAACTGAAAGATACTGAATTATTAATCTCCTCATGATAACAATAAAAACATCTAGCATTTATTGAATTTATAACATGTACCAGACACTGTACTAAGTGTTTTCTATGCACTAAGTAATTATGTTCTCTTCATGAAAGATAGCATAAACTTTGGTGCCAGATTTTGTGAGTTCAAGTCATGACTTGACTTAACATTTACTCAACAATATAATTTAGAATTCAATTGCCCTCTTTTGCCCTAGTTTCTTCACTGATAAAATGGAGATAGTGGGAGTACCTATCTCACAAGATAATCATGAAAATTAAATGAGTTAATGAATATAAAATACTTACCACAGTATTTAGCTCACTGTATGTGCTATCTAAATTTTAGTTCTTTTTTATTGTTATATTTTTATTTCATATTATTAAATAGCTAATATCTTTGTAAAACATTGATTAAAAGAAAATACATCAAAACATAACAAATTATATTAAAAGATTATAATTAGTCTTTTTCAATATTTTCAAAATTTATATATAATATGTCTGAATAAATTAGCTTTATACTTAAGAACAGTTTTGAGAAAAGAAGTATCAGCCTATTGTTCTTCAAAGTATTTAACTGAGGCAAATAGACTAAGTAATGTTTGTTAAAAACATTCTACCTGTTGGGCATTTACACCAGGTCATAGAAACTGAAAAGGGATAAAACACACTCTTTTTAATTTGCTTAAAATTTATAGGGACAACCCAAACTATGAGTGTATATTGTAATACTGAATAGGTTTGAACTTGGTGCAACATCAGCAAAGCCTTAGAAGCAAGAAAAAATACCACTCCTTTGATAAGTACATGTAGCTCAGGTTAGCTGGAATGTAAGTTGAGGCTGGATGAGGAAACAGGGTTTGATCCTCTTTAGGAAATATTGATATATTTTATAGAAGAGGAAGTTAGGAATTGTTGAAACTTTTAAAGAGGGTATGCCATGATCATGTCTTTAATTTTAAAGCTTATTTGCTTCATGTTACAGGAATAAATGGAGAGGAGCAAAACTAGGGTCAGAAACAAGGCCAGAGTTCCTAAAGTAATCCAGATGAGCAATTGAATAAAGGACATAGAGAGGAAAGAAAAACTGACTCTGTAAATATTTAGGATATAAGTTATGTGAGTTTGGTGTGCGTGGAGGTCTTCATAAGCAAAACTGAGGCAAACTAACTTGGAACAGATAGATTTCTTGGTAGCTATTTCAAGTATGTACAGGTGTGAAGATAGGGGAAATGGGGCTGGGGTCGAGGCTCAGTGGTAAAGCATTTGCCTAGTACCTGAGAGGCACTGGGTTCAATCCTCAGCACAACATAAAATAAAATAAATAAAATAAAGGTATTGTGTTCACCTACAACTAAAAAAAAAGATGGGGGAAATGACAGGCAGAAGGAAGAAAGTCCCCCTCCAAAAAAAAGGTGTGCGGGGGGGTGTTGCTTCTGTAGGTAACTGGGCTCAGTTTTGCTAGGGAAAACAATGTGGAACATGTAGGAGCAGGCTATAAGCATGGTTGAAGTCCTAATATTAAATGTTACCATGTCCCCCCATAGTTTTATTGGTGCATTATAATTGTACATATTTGTGGGATTTATTGTTACATATTTTACAGGCAAATGATATAACAATAAAATTTGGTCAGTATCATTCTCCAAATGTTATCATCATAAAAGAGTACAAAGTAAGAAGAGCTGAAGACTGACATTTGATGAAAATATCAGAGTTTTAATAAGTGAAAAAGGAAAATTAGGTAAGAGTTATCAGAGAGGGAGAGGGAGTATGTCAGAAAAGCCAAAAAGGCAAAGAAGGTCAACAATTTACATTGTCCTGTTAGAATATCCTTCCAAAGTACCTTGGGCTTATGCACATTTTTTGGACACATATGCCTTTCCACAGCACTAAGTCCTGATGAATCCAAATTTAAAAAGTTTAGAGTAAAAAGGGTTATTTTAAGTTTATCTTTGGAGAATATATACCCCTTCCCAATTCCCTCTTTTTGCTTTAATAAGTACATTTTAGTAGTTTGATGAGCTCTTTCAACTATGCCTTGTCCCTGTGGATTGTATGGGATTCCTGTTATATGAGTAATGCCAAATGATGAGCAAAATTGTTTAAAAGAGGTAGAAGTATAACCAGGGGCATTATCTGTTTTTAACTGTTTTGGAACACCCACAGTGGCAAAATTTTGTAAGCAATGAGCTATAATATCTTTAGTTTTTTCTCCGGCATGAAGGGAGCCCATCAAAAATCCAGAAGAAGTATCAACTGTAACATGCAAATATTTTAATTTTCCAAATTTTGGCAAGTGTGTGACATCCATCTGCCAAATATGGTTAGGTATCAGTCCTCTAGGATTGACTCCAAGATTAACTTGTGGTAAAAAGGTCACACAATTTTGACATTGATTTATTATTTGTCTAGCTTGTTCCTTAATTATTTTAAAACGCTTTTGTAAAGTATTAGCATTGACATGGAACTTTTTATGAATATTTATAGCTTCTTCTAGTGTAGAGAAAATATGTATGTCATGTGTAGTTTTATCAGCTAAATCATTGCCCAAACTAAGGGCTCCAGGCAATCCTGTATGTGCCCTGATATGCTGGGAGCCATTAGCCAAGTAGGTATGACAATTTCCTTGCCAGCAAGCCCCATGTTGCTTAGTGGAAGGACTCGTGGAAATAGGACATTTTGCAGTGACATTGCATCTAAGGTGACCTTGTTCAAGGACCAGGGCGGATCCGGGTTTAGGGCATTCCC